TGTTTTTACTCTATTCATTATATCTTGTGCGCCCTGTTATTCTCTACTATCTATTTTTACTCTATTCATTATATCTTGTGCTCCCTGTTATTCTCTACTATCTATTTTTACTCTATTCATTATATCTTTTGCACCCTGTTATTCTCTACAATCTATTTTTACTCTATTCATTATATCTTTTGCACATTGTTATTCTCTACTATCTATGTTTACTCTATTCATTATATCTTTTGCACCCTGTTATTCTCTACTATCTATTTTTACACTATTCATTATATCTTTTGCGCCCTGTTATTCTCTACTATCTATGTTTACTCTATTCGTTATATCTTTTGCACCCTGTTATTCTCTACTATCTATTTTTACTCTATTCGTTATATCTTTTGCGCCCTGTTATTCTCTACTATCTATGTTTACTCTATTCGTTATATCTTTTGCGCACTGTTATTCTCTACTATCTATGTTTACTCTATTCGTTATATCTTTTGCACCCTGTTATTCTCTACTATCTATTTTTACTCTATTCATTATATCTTGTGCGCCCTGTTATTCTCTACAATCTATTTTTACTCTATTCATTATATCTTTTGCACCCTGTTATTCTCTACTATCTATGTTTACTCTATTCATTATATCTTTTGCACCCTGTTATTCTCTACTATCTATTTTTACTCTATTCATTATATCTTTTGCGCCCTGTTATTCTCTACTATCTATTTTTACTCTATTCGTTATATCTTTTGCACCCTGTTATTCTCTACTATCTATTTTTACTCTATTCATTATATCTTGTGCGCCCTGTTATTCTCTACAATCTATTTTTACTCTATTCATTATATCTTTTGCACCCTGATATTCTCTACTATCTATTTTTACTCTATTCATTATATCTTGTGCGCCCTGTTATTCTCTACTATCTATTTTTACTCTATTCATTATATCTTGTGCGCCCTGTTATTCTCTACTATCTATTTTTACTCTATTCATTATATCTTTTGCACCCTGATATTCTCTACTATCTATTTTTACTCTATTCATTATATCTTGTGCGCCCTGTTATTCTCTACTATCTATTTTTACTCTATTCATTATATCTTGTGCGCCCTGTTATTCTCTACTATCTATTATTACTCTATTCATTATATCTTGTGCACCCTGTTATTCTCTACAATCTATTTTTACTCTATTCATTATATCTTGTGCGCCCTGTTATTCTCTACTATCTATTTTTACTCTATTCATTATATCTTGTGCGCCCTGTTATTCTCTACTATCTGTTTTTACTCTATTCATTATATCTTGTGCGCCCTGTTATTCTCTACTATCTATTTTTACTCTATTCATTATATCTTGTGCGCCCTGTTATTCTCTACTATCTGTTTTTACTCTATTCATTATATCTTGTGCGCCCTGTTATTCTCTACTATCTATTTTTACTCTATTCATTATATCTTGTGCTCCCTGTTATTCTCTACTATCTATTTTTACTCTATTCATTATATCTTTTGCACCCTGTTATTCTCTACAATCTATTTTTACTCTATTCATTATATCTTTTGCACATTGTTATTCTCTACTATCTATGTTTACTCTATTCATTATATCTTTTGCACCCTGTTATTCTCTACTATCTATTTTTACACTATTCATTATATCTTTTGCGCCCTGTTATTCTCTACTATCTATGTTTACTCTATTCGTTATATCTTTTGCACCCTGTTATTCTCTACTATCTATTTTTACTCTATTCGTTATATCTTTTGCGCCCTGTTATTCTCTACTATCTATGTTTACTCTATTCGTTATATCTTTTGCGCACTGTTATTCTCTACTATCTATGTTTACTCTATTCGTTATATCTTTTGCACCCTGTTATTCTCTACTATCTATTTTTACTCTATTCATTATATCTTGTGCGCCCTGTTATTCTCTACAATCTATTTTTACTCTATTCATTATATCTTTTGCACCCTGTTATTCTCTACTATCTATGTTTACTCTATTCATTATATCTTTTGCACCCTGTTATTCTCTACTATCTATTTTTACTCTATTCATTATATCTTTTGCGCCCTGTTATTCTCTACTATCTATTTTTACTCTATTCGTTATATCTTTTGCACCCTGTTATTCTCTACTATCTATTTTTACTCTATTCATTATATCTTGTGCGCCCTGTTATTCTCTACAATCTATTTTTACTCTATTCATTATATCTTTTGCACCCTGATATTCTCTACTATCTATTTTTACTCTATTCATTATATCTTGTGCGCCCTGTTATTCTCTACTATCTATTTTTACTCTATTCATTATATCTTGTGCGCCCTGTTATTCTCTACTATCTATTATTACTCTATTCATTATATCTTGTGCACCCTGTTATTCTCTACAATCTATTTTTACTCTATTCATTATATCTTGTGCGCCCTGTTATTCTCTACTATCTATTTTTACTCTATTCATTATATCTTGTGCGCCCTGTTATTCTCTACTATCTGTTTTTACTCTATTCATTATATCTTGTGCGCCCTGTTATTCTCTACTATCTATTTTTACTCTATTCATTATATCTTGTGCGCCCTGTTATTCTCTACTATCTGTTTTTACTCTATTCATTATATCTTGTGCGCCCTGTTATTCTCTACTATCTATTTTTACTCTATTCATTATATCTTGTGCTCCCTGTTATTCTCTACTATCTATTTTTACTCTATTCATTATATCTTTTGCACCCTGTTATTCTCTACAATCTATTTTTACTCTATTCATTATATCTTTTGCACATTGTTATTCTCTACTATCTATGTTTACTCTATTCATTATATCTTTTGCACCCTGTTATTCTCTACTATCTATTTTTACACTATTCATTATATCTTTTGCGCCCTGTTATTCTCTACTATCTATGTTTACTCTATTCGTTATATCTTTTGCACCCTGTTATTCTCTACTATCTATTTTTACTCTATTCGTTATATCTTTTGCGCCCTGTTATTCTCTACTATCTATGTTTACTCTATTCGTTATATCTTTTGCGCACTGTTATTCTCTACTATCTATGTTTACTCTATTCGTTATATCTTTTGCACCCTGTTATTCTCTACTATCTATTTTTACTCTATTCATTATATCTTGTGCGCCCTGTTATTCTCTACAATCTATTTTTACTCTATTCATTATATCTTTTGCACCCTGTTATTCTCTACTATCTATGTTTACTCTATTCATTATATCTTTTGCACCCTGTTATTCTCTACTATCTATTTTTACTCTATTCATTATATCTTTTGCGCCCTGTTATTCTCTACTATCTATTTTTACTCTATTCGTTATATCTTTTGCACCCTGTTATTCTCTACTATCTATTTTTACTCTATTCATTATATCTTGAGCGCCCTGTTATTCTCTACTATCTATTTTTACTCTATTCATTATATCTTGTGCTCCCTGTTATTCTCTACTATCTATTTTTACTCTATTCATTATATCTCTTGCACATTGCTATTCTCTACTATCTATTTTTACTCTATTCATTATATCTTGTGTACCTTGTTATTCTCTACTATATATTTTTACTCTATTCATTATATCTTGTGCGCCCTGTTATTCTCTACAATCTATTTTTACTCTATTCATTATATCTTGTGCGCCCTGTTATTCTCTACTATCTATTTTTACTCTATTCATTATATCTTGTGCGCCCTGTTATTCTCTACTATCTGTTTTTACTCTATTCATTATACTTTTGCACATTGTTATTCTCTACTATCTATTTTTACTCTATTCATTATATCTTTTGCACCCTGTTATTCTCTACTATCTATTTTTACTCTATTCATTATACTTTTGCACATTGTTATTCTCTACTATCTATTTTTACTCTATTCATTATATCTTTTGCACCCTGTTATTCTCTACAATCTATTTTTACTCTATTCATTATATCTTTTGCACCTTGTTATTCTCTACTATCTATTTTTACTCTATTCATTATATCTTGTGCGCCCTGTTATTCTCTACTATCTATTTTTACTCTATTCATTATATCTTGTGTGCCCTGTTATTCTCTACTATCTATTTTTACTCTATTCATTATATCTTTTGCACCCTGTTATTCTCTACTATCTATTTTTACTCTATTCATTATATCTTTTGCACCCTGATATTCTCTACTATCTATTTTTACTCTATTCATTATATCTTTTGCACCCTGTTATTCTCTACAATCTATTTTTACACTATTCATTATATCTTGTGCACATTGTTATTCTCTACTATCTATTTTTACTCTATTCATTATATCTTGTGCACATTGTTATTCTCTACTATCTATTTTCACTCTTTTCATTATATCTTTTGCACACTGTTATTCTCTACAATCTATTTTTACTCTATTCATTATATCTTTTGCACCCTGTTATTCTCTACTATCTATTTTAACTCTATTCGTTATATCTTTTGCTCCCTGTTATTCTCTACTATCTATTATTACTCTATTCATTATATCTTTTGCACCCTGTTATTCTCTACAATCTATTTTTACTCTATTCATTATATCTTGTGCGCCCTGTTATTCTCTACAATCTATTTTTACTCTATTCATTATATCTTTTGCACCCTGTTATTCTCTACAATCTATTTTTACTCTATTCATTATATCTTGTGCGCTCTGTTATTCTCTACAATCTATTTTTACTCTATTCATTATATCTTTTGCACCCTGTTATTCTCTACAATCTATTTTTACTCTATTCATTATATCTTTTGCACCCTGATATTCTCTACTATCTATTTTTACTCTATTCATTATATTATTTGGTCATTATTCTTGATTCTGTAAACCCCATCCAAACCCTCATACAATCTGCTGTTAAGTAGTTTATATATTTTCTAGTGATATCTCGGTTTTTATCCTGCAAAGGACAATTTTTCAACAGAAATAAGGATGAACACATATACACTGAACAAACGAAATCATTACTCTATATTTACTTGATAAAGTTTTCATAATAAATATACTATATGAAAATCAACCGCACAATGTAACATGCAACATGCAACCACCAAAAATAGCAGTTCCCTCTTTTTAGCATAAAATTTCCCTTCCTCCCTCCCTCCCCTCTGTCCTCTCAAGAGGATGCTCCACTTCTCATAAAAGGAAATGTGTAAATTGGTAAGTGTCCATTTCTTCAAGTAAGTGAATGATTCTGGATTTAAATCTCCAATTTTATTCACATTCAGTAAGGAAAGTGTGAAAATTAATATATTGATCAAATCATTTGAAATGATAGTAAATATTTCGACTGACTAGGTTTGCTGTGGTTACCTGTTATGTTCTTTGTGAAGGGCTCCTTGTGACGTCTCGATTTTTATCGACTGCGTTGTGCATAAACATAAAGAGTTGTTAATAGACATGATATTTAAACGTAGGTGAAAGAGTGTTAATACGTATATAATATAGCTGTCAATCTACGACATGGTATTTAGCATGGAATAAATTGTTTTTACGATAAATCAAAATGTGACATTTAAACAACATTTATTTGTCTACTTGCAGTTTATATAAAAAGTGCATAATTAGTTATGGGATGTCTTTTGACTATCGGTAGGATATTTCTTATCGTTACCAACATCATATTTTTGGTAAGTAAAATATTCCAGGTAAATATGATAGCTTTCATTGATTTAAATCACACAGGTTGGTCTTTGTTGTTTAGATTAAATATAGTGATAACTTCAGGGGCTAGGATGAAATTTAAAAAAAAGAGGCAGGACAGGAGTTTTGAGTAAAAAAAAGGCAGGATGAGCAACTTGGCAAAAAAAAAAGAAGACAGGATGACAATTAATGTAAAAAAAGTCAGGATAAACTGAAAAAAAAAGGCAGGACCGAAAAACGTGAAAATTAAAAAGGCAGGACAGAGATTACAACTAAAAAAAATGCAGGACAAATTTTTTCATCCTAGCCCCCCCCCCCCTAACAATCAAATGGTAGCTCCCTAATACGCATATACGTGTATATATGTCTCTGTTTTAACCGTACAATGGATTAAACAAATGAAATTACGGTTCAAAAACCTGATACGTAAATGATAGTAAATCCAAAAGTGTCCATATGCAACGACTAATACCATAACATATTTCAAAAACTGAAATTAAAAAAAAACAACTATGTGAAGGAGATGTTATGAAAAAATGAAATGTGAAAAAAACTACATTTTTGTACGAACTTCGCAATTGATACCAAATGATCCAACAAAAATCGATATCTATTTACTTCGCAATTAGCAGTTGTTTGTTGACAGATTATATGAACTTGCACGAATAGAGATTACCTTTTCCTCAAGACATCTATTTAGAATAACACTAAAAAGGGTATACAAAAAAATCATGTTACTGTGAATTTCTGTAAAAATGTATCAAGCACACACGTGCTTGGTGCTGATCGAATTTGTGCGAATAATACCCGTGAAATAACATCAGTAAATATTTGCACCTGAATTGTAAATTTTCTTCTTCAGTTGATAGGCCTTGTGTTGCTTATCGTTGGACTTATTGCAAAGTTCGGTGAAAGTCTGTTCAAGAGTTATTATGAAAGCATTATAACAAGTTTAGAAGATTCCCTGTCCAGTGCTGGATACGGGGATGTTAATTTGGACTTCAGCTTATCGGAACTTGCCGGAAGTCTCCCAATAGCTTTAATAATAAGTGGACTTTTAATCATCATCATAACAGTTGTTGCAGTTATTGGAGCTATCAAGAAAGCGAAATGTCTTCTGTTGATCTATAGTATTGTGATGTTTGTCATTATTGCTGCACAGGTTCTTACTATGGGAATGTTTTATTGGAAACCTGAAATGGTAAGGTTATGTTATAGAATAATTGTAGTTTGTTTTAGTTCATTTCTGTAATTACTGTCCCCTTGAACTATTATACTAACAAATATATTAGTCTCATCTATCCCTGACAAATAAAGATACAAGATATAGGATATTTTATTAAGCCAATTATGGAGCCCGTTGATGACCATATGAATCATTCATAAAAAAATAGAAGTATATTCTGATGATCGATGTAACATTCACGTATTAATCATGAAGATATAACGGTACTTGCTTTAAGTCCATTTTGTTCATTTATTGCCATGCAAAATTTTAAACATCGGCTTGAAGGAAAACAATGCAAAGAATGTAAACATATTAAAAGTGTCTTGTTGTTAGTTTTGTAGAATTATTTCGAAATAAAAAAAAATAATACTTCATAAGAGATTTTCGAAGATCAACATATTGAATCTCAGTTAAGATTGATGTTTTAATGATAAAGAGTGCCATTTCTTTGGACCATTTGTCTGCATCTTAAAACACATAGATTTGTTTTAGATTTATAATGAACTATAAGGAAATAGTCATGCTTTTAGTACGCACAAATGTTTTGTTTCTGAATAAAAGGAGAAAAAAAGAAAACATCCCAACAAGGAAAAAACAAACAAACAAGAGTCATCTAATTGTCCAACATTCAATTTTAGACAGGTGTCCCTGCAATATTTTAAACTCTTAATCGCCCGTAGCCTAGAAAAGTCAGTGAACAGAGACTACTAAAGATCTGCCGTTAACACAAAATTCTACAAACAACAATAATATATGACATAAGATACTCACTTACAATTTCCTGACTTGAAACAAGCACAAAAGTATGTGGTTGAATAAGCTAGATTTTTTGTCTCAACACTCCACTGTTAAATCTCGATATAGTCTTGTTAACAGTGTAAGGCCTTACGAGTCATTACTGGTATATTTTGATTTATTTTAAGAGTTCGACTTAGTTCTTTTCAAACAGATTTAGTTTGCATGTTAAAAGTAAATATGACTGTTTAAAACTTCAGATAACAACACCTGTCAAAGATTCGTTAAACTCTACAATACAGTCAGATTTTGCTGGGTTAAATGGAACAAATGTTGTATCAATAGGATGGAACTTTGTAAACCAAAAGGTATGTATTGTTCTCAGCTCTCCAGTTACAGTATGATCGTACATAAGATAAGATAAACAAAAAATATTTTGATTCGGCATAAGTTAAATATACAACACAAGCTCTAAGGAGCTTTTGACCGAATATAAAAACATATACATAACATAAAAACATTTTAAGATATAAAACAACCTGTAATACAAAGTTGAATCTCACACACATAGCATACAATAAAAATTAAGCAACAAATTCAGAATGAAGTAAAACATTTTTACTTATATAAAAGTTTAAAATTTAGATTAAAAATATGGTGACTATTTGAATAAATAGATTACTTTTATAAAAATCAAATAAAAAAGTTTAGAACTATAGTATATGCTTTGAGGTCTAGAAATTTCAATGAACAGAATATTTTCAACATGCATTGATTACCCAATTTCTGGAAATATGTGTCAGAAATTAAAAGTGTGTATATGCATTTTGATTTCGATCTAAAATCCAAAACAGACGTGGAAGAATTCACACAAAAAGGACAAATTTTGAATGCTATATGATTTCTTTCAATAATATATGGTGTAAGGTGTTATGGTTTCGATTTGAATAAGAACAACAATCATTTATTGGGGTGAATGGGGCATAAGAGTATATGTTCAATGATTAATTGTTTTCATGCAAGCGTGAACATATTTTTTTATAGTAGTTGATGATTTTGTATACACATGGCTGTGACGATCTTTTTATCATTAAACCAAGATAAATGATAAAAACACATTGTATTAACATTTTAGTTTCAATGTTGTGGGATAGACAACTATTATGACTTCTCAGAAGCGACAAATTGGGTGAAAAATTTGACAAGTGGAACACTGGTGACACCACTCAGCTGCTGTAAAACGTTACCTTCTTCTAGTGACCTTTCGTGTGCTCAGAGTCCTCTGTCAACCAGCACCAACAATTATAATACGGTATATATCATTATCATTATCAATATTACAATAGTAATTTAAAATAACAGAGATTAACAATAGCGGAGTACAACTTTCTATGCCATCTTCACCTAAAACAATGTAGAGGAGAGAAAAAATGAAAAAGAAACAAACCTATACACAGGGAAACATTGGCTTACTATACATTATAATTTCTAAATGTCGATTGTTTAATAAAAAACTTTGTGTAAAGATATTATGTATGACTAAAAAGAGACATGACTGTACGTCACCAAAAATAATAGCATAAACGGTACCAATTGTAATGCACCAGATGAGCATTTCGACAATTAATATCTCTTCAGTGATGCCCGACACCAAAATATTTGAATGTCCAAAATCTAATTCAAATGTTGAAGAGCGGATCAAACCAAAAAGAACCTAAATTATAATCAAATCCGGACAAGAATCAGAGCTTTGCATGAGGGACATAAAGTCCTTAATTTAAAATAATTTAAAATTTTTTTATAATAGCATATTATATTCAAATAATATCCATATTTTTATGTCAGTACCTTAGTACTGAATACTAGGCTGGGGATACCGTCGGGGACTAACAGTCCACCAGCAGAGGTATCGACCCAGTGGTAGTAATAACGTAAACGGTATCAATTTTAATGCAACAGATGCGCTATTCGACAATCAAAGTCTCTTCAGTAATGCGTGAGGCCAAACTTTTTGAATATCCAAAATCTAATACAAATGTTGAAGACGTTGGAAAGACTTACATAGAGCCAAAGATATTTACATGGAAATAAAGCTTCTGTGAACCTACAGTTATTTTAAAGTCCTGAAAATGTCAACGTTAGATAACGAAACTGCTACTAAATCCAAATTGGATGTTAGAAAAACAAATAAGTAATTAAAACGAAATGAAATCTACAAAACAAAGCGAAACCTGATAAAAGATTTAGCTCAGAAGCAAACGATTTCTACATTTTCGTTCGATTTATTTAGTTCACATTTTTCAGGGTTGTTTTGATGAAATATGGGATCTTGCTCTTGGTAACGTCGCCATTACAGCATCAATAATATCAGTATGTTTAGTTATGCAGGTATGTATAAGAGGAAAAGTGCAAATTAAGATGAAGGGCCAATTTATCCTCAATTTATTTCACACGCAGGATAAAAAAATCTTGAAATCTTTATTAAAATGTATAGTATAACAGTTTCATGTTTTAAACTTAGTTGTAACAACATTGGGTCGTATATCTCAATATGAATGCTCAAAGATGAATGAAAATTGCATTTTTTATAGATTTGACAGTTTTAATTTTTTAGAAAATGAATAAAAAGGACACTATAAAAAAAAACTATAAAAAAAGAAAAATATGTTTTGTTTTTAGATACAAACTATAATTTATTTTGAATTTGGGTTTCTTTCGCTACAAAAGCTTTCCATTTTGTTTCAAAATTGTCTTATTTATATAATTGTTGAAAAAAATATATATCAAATATTTTGTTCTGACTAAAATCCACTAGATCAACCTTTGGATTTCGACGCCGTGAAAGTGCGGAAAAGGACTATTTTTTTTTATTGATTTTAAATAAATCCTGTAATTTTTGCCTTAAACATTGTCTCTACTATTGTGTTTATTGTATTTACAGCTGCTTATTTCTTTTTTGATTTCTTTTTTCATCTCCCTTTTTTTTCTTTTTCAGATTATATTTTTCCTTGTTGCATTATGTATGTATTCAGATAACAGCCAAAACAAAGTCAAACCGAAAGGGTGATGATTTGACTCGAACTGACATAGCAGCACTTGTTTTGCTTATTATAATATATTTATTGTTAAATTGTAGTCATATTGACTGGAGAGAAAGCACAATACGCGGCGGGCAAGAACTGAATTTTATTTGTAATTGTCAGAATTGTGTGTGCAAGATAAATTCAAGGCGAGGGTGGGACAGCGAGCATTTGGTTCACTATAGTCGGAAAAAAATTTAATTGTTAAAGCATATAAAACGGAAAAAAAACATTCTCTTCGCTCCATCGTAAATCATGGACCCGCCCCTGAAGTATGCAACTGAATAAGAGAAAAATGACTGATCATTTTTACAGTGACTAAAAGAACATATCGGAAGTTTTTTTTTTAACTTTTCTGTTAAAGTTATAAAACATCTCTAATATTATATGTCAAAAATGTTCGTATTCCATACATGTTCGGAATTTAAATGTTGTTTCATCTTCGGAAATCATTATGAGGAATAAGCAAACTATCCTGGATATATTTTGGTTTGAAAGATAGTATCCCTGTATTGTATTCATTTTTAAAACTGTTTATGGAACTTTTGATGTAGACTTCTGCGATAAAATACTCGCTTTGACTAATTGTTTTAGAATACAAGTGATTCGTTTATAGGGATTCCCTTTTCACACTGAGTATGGACGTTGTCCACGTTGGATATGTGTATGGTGTTCATTGCTTAATCCTACCTTTTCGATCCTAATTACATTCAATCAATTGTCGGTATCGGCAAGTACTGGAAAACAAAGCATACGTCTCTCATTTCAAAAAGAGAAAGTATTTATTTCAAAATATATATTCCATAAGTTTTTTACTATTGCAACTGTATAACTTGTGATACAGTCAAATTTAAAAATTTCTTTTCCACATTAATAGTTTTCATTTCATGACAAGTTTAAAATACATTTTATGAGTTTGCGTGCTCCGTTTTGTCAAATCAAATTGCAAAGCCGTTATTTGTAATTGCATGTTTGTATTTAGTACTCAAACAACTGTAGTGATGTCTGCTGGCAGACAAGTATAACATTGAGTAAACATTTGTGTTTGTTTGTTACTTTATATGAGAAATAAAAGTTGTTAATATTTACATATTCAGTTTTGTGTACCCATTGTGAACTTTTTGTTAGAGTATGTAAAAAGTAAAATAACAAAAATACCGAACGTCAAGGAAAATTCAAAACGGAAAGTCCCTTATCAAATGGCAAAATCAAAAGCTCAAACACCTCAAACGAATGGAAAACAACTGTCATATTCCTGACTTGGTACAGGCATTTCCTCATGTAGAAAGTGGTGGATTAAACCTGGTCTTATAGCTAGCTAAACCTCTCACTTGTATGACATCGCATAGAATTAAACTCTTTAAATAGTAACCACCGTTTAGCCATTCATGTAACTGGTATTACATAACTATAGTATCATCACCTAACATTTAGCAGTCTGTCCGAAAGTTTAATTGTTTGTCCTTTTCCCTATAGATTTATCAACGTAATCTGTGATAACGGATGTAGATTAGTCCATTTGGGAATGTGAAACCAGATTCAGAATGTAGACACTATGGATATTAGGAAGTTGGTATTATCAAATTTAAACAAGATTTGAAACACAAGGCACTACAAAGCAATCAAACCATAGCTCCTTATTTTTATAATATCAAGTTTCAAGCTGGGACTACAACGTCATGATTAAGTATCTTGATTAAAAACTTTAATGGAACATATCTACGAACGGAATTTCGGACGGACTGACGCACAGACCAGAAAACACAATGCCATTCTACTATTGTAGTCGGAACATTACCATTGCCTCGTGTTCACAATAATACTCGTAATTGCAAAGAATTGTAATGTTTGACGTGTAAAGATATCGTAGTCATTCGTCGCAATTTGAAAAACCACCACCACAGGACAGCTTTGAGAGCCGAAACTTTATAATTCAGAAACTTTGCAGGTTGAGGACGGTATTTTATAATAATTGCTCTAACAACTCTCTTTAGTCCAGAGGAGAAGGAGAAAAACATAATCAAATTAAACAGCATATATTGCAATTTTTGGTTTCAAAAAAAAGGATTGATTATTAGTTGTTTTCATACCGTCTAGTGGCAAATAGTTCATGCATATTTGGAACGATTGAAAAAAAGGCCCTCTTAACCGAAGCTGGAAATGCAAACCTGCAGCATGTATCTGTATTTTAAAATACCACTAACGGATAAAACCAATAAATTAAAACTGAGGTAGACCAATTTTCCCTCGGATATTATAAAACCCAAGTCATGCTCAAAATGATGCTTATCATGACAGTTTTATATGGTGAAGTTCCTACTGCATTTATTTCACGTTATGTTTCTGAAAATGTATTTATATGCTAAAAATCGAAGTTAAAGGGCAATAACTCTAATAAGGAGTCGACTGACGATTTCCGCTGTTTGATTTATTTAAAGATCTTGTCTTGCTGATCATTTTTGCGGTTTAAAGTTTCTATCTGTTATAGTTTTCAAGATAATAGGCAATACTGGAAAAAATAGTAAAATTCGTCAATATAGGGCAATAACTCCTATAAGAATTCGTCTGACGGTTTTGATTGAAACAGACAACAGGTAAAGTTCAACATTCTGAACATTTCTGCCCCTGTCAGATTTTCTCTTTTTATACCCGTTTTCAAAATAATAGGCAAAACTTACATTTTACCCCCCTTTGTGCTACTTTTAGCCATGACGGCCAAAATAGGCAAAACTTACATTTTATCCTTATGTTCTATTTTTAGCCATGTCGGCCAACTTGGCTAGCAGCCGGGGTCATCGGACACAATTTTAAAACTAGATACCCAAATGATGATTATGGCCATGCAAGTTAGGTTAAATTTGGCTCATTACTTTCAGAGGAGATCATCTTTGTAAAAGTTAACGGACGACGACATACTACGGATGACAAGTGATTGAGCTAAAAATGTAATATTCACATATATCCATAAATTCAATTGAAAACAGTATGTAATCATATATGTCACACATATGATCACTCTTTTTCAGTATTTTAGTTTCTGAAGAAATTTAAGCAGACTGATTATCAAAAAATAAAACAAGAGGTGCTTACTGAGAGCCTGAATCACGCACCTGTTAAAAAATAAATCTTGTATTGTTGGTCACATTAGCTATTTACAGTTCTCCACCTACAATTCAGCTAAAGAAGTTTTCAAGATGACAGACAAAACCTTGAAACTAGAGGCTCTAAAGAGCCCGTGTCGCTCACCTAGGTCTATGGGCATCTTCAACAATGGACCGCCTTAAACATTGTGGACTAAAATAGAATTCGTGATAGAAATCTTTTTTTTTTGTTGATCTTGTATTGCTGATTATTTTTAATGTTTACAGTTTCTGTTTCTTTCGTTTTTTGCCAAAAACACAAAAAATGGTAAAAAAATATCGATTAAGGCAATCACTCCTATAAAGAGTAAACAATTATTTTTATTGAGTGAGAAAACGATGCATTTTTGGATAACATAATTTGTTAAAATTTGGCTGGAAATATTTAAATAGTAATCAGTATCATTCAAGAAGTTTGTCTTCCGAAAAAAAAAATTGTTATATTAATAAAAAGTTACCTTAATAATGAAGCAAACCTAACTGATTTGCGTCATTAATCAACTGTTGATTTACGATTCAATCTATTAGAAAACTTTCACCAATAATGTCAAAAAGACTAGTGTTTAGTAACTGCGAGTACTCTTGGATCGGTGCCTTGTTTATGTTGTCTTTTTTGTGTCCTTAAAGCAGATTTGGTTTTGTGTATGTTTCGTATGGTTAGCTGTTACACCGCTGTCCCAGGCAAGAGAAAGAATGGGAAGCTCACAATCTTGTTTAACCCTGCCAAATTCTTTCATATGCCTGTCCTTAGCCAAAAGCCTGTAATTCGGTGGTTGTTATTTGACGGTTTAACACAAACAAGGGTGTTGTATTACAGGGTAAGGGTTTTGCTCCTTATTGAAGGGCGAATAACGCCCTATACTTGTTAACGTCCTCGTCAGCGAAACCTCTTTTCCTTATTGTTAAATAAGGTGATTTATGCGTTCTCTTTATCATCATTTCTCGTTTGTAACTCATAAGTATTTAAAAATATTTTGTTTCGAGAATAAACTGATGCTAATGATTTTTTTTAATTCGCCCAGTTTGTGTAAAAAAAAGAACTGCTGTATTTTGTAAGTTTGAATAAACTGAACATTATTTAAGGAGTAAGTATAGCATGTAACACAAATTATGACACAACTTTATTTATCGTTCTAACATCAATTCAAATCTGCCAAATACATGGTGTGAAAGTTCTCTGTTTTTTTTTATCATATTCGTCAAACCTTGTCATAATATTTCTTTACATCATCTTGGCCTATTTCCTTAGTTGTATTACTATTTTGCGGTTCTACTGTGACCTTGGCCGTGACCTTGGTTTCCTTGGCCATGACCTTTGTTGCCATGGCCATGACCTTGGTTGCCATGGCCGTGACCTTGGTTTCCTTTGCCATGACCTTTGTTGCCATGGCCATGACCTTGGTTACCGTGACCTTGTTTGCCATGACCTTGGTTGCCATGCTCGTGACCTTGGTTGCCATGTCCATAACCTTTGTTACCGTGACCTTGGTTGCCATGCCCATGACCTTGGTTGCCATGGCCATGACCTTGGTTACCGTGACCTTGGTTGCCATGTCCATGACCTTGGTTGCAATGCCCATGACCTTGACCTGAAGCGCATTTTTCTGAAAGACATACAAAACAATACGATAGATAACCGCAAAAACAAATTATGCTTTACTAACTTATTGGAGCACATTAATACGAAACAAATAACATAAATATAACAACAGTTCAACAGCCAAATCAAACTGATATAAATGCAAAAGTTTAAACATAAAATCAAATTATGCAAGACTATATTATTGAAGCACATTTCCCTGAAAGGAACGCTTATGCAAGTTTATGCAGTTCAGATTGATTTCACCCCTACGTCTGTTTTTATACCTGAATTTTTATAATGTATATTTCTACCTTATAAGAAACAATACTTGCACTATAAAGTAATGAAATATGTTTTAAGTTTATGTACAAAAAGGAAAACGAAAACACATTTTTCTTCTTTTTCAAATATTGAACAACGATGCAGATGATTCAGGCAGCTGTAATTACAAAGGAAGATAGATTTATCGTTACAAGTATATATATGCCGGAATAAAAAATTATCAAATCTAAAAGTTTTAAACAATAATACGTATAGACCAGTGTCGTGTTGATTTCTTGGCAAAAAAAACATTTATCGATGTTGGTTTGAATTACATTAAAGTTTGTCTATAATGATCATATATGTGTTTTCAGAAAGAGTTATTATCTTTTATTATTCTTGTCTATTTCTGCTACCTGCAGCCTTTTGCTTCAAGTAATTTTAAGAATAAAATTTTAATTGGTTGTCTATTTATAAAATATTCATAACTTGTCTTTACTTGAACGGATTTATACCTTGTTTAAATCCAGATGTCTTTTCTAGTCTATTGTGTTTAATGAGTAATGTCTCAATGGCGCTTACCTGTTTATATTTATTATGCATACTATCAAAAATGGTAGGTATTGTTGTATTGTTGTGTCGTTACCAAGGTTACCAAGCCTTAACAACAGCTCTGTTTAAAATCTTTCTCATTTTTGTATCACAACCCTTCTAAAAATGCTTCATCCTCATTTGAAATATAAGCATCACACTGTGAACGAACGTTATATTCAAAACTGTCGTTCTTTCATTATAAACTTACTTTGTATTGGCTTCCTACACATGTAACCGTTATAGGAAGCTCTAGCGTCACCACACATGACAGGACAGCAATAATATCCGGGTTGACATTCACACTGACCCCTTTTATAGCAGCCACAATGCCTAGAATGGTAATATGAAGGTGGTGGACATACCTCACATACATTACCTCTTCCCTCTGAAATCAATAGAAAAAAGTTAAGAAGCTTTTTATATATTTTTGATGTTAGTGGTGGGTGTATGCATACCTTTAAACGTTAATATTGAATTAAATGCAACAGTTGCTTTACCGATGGATTTTCAA